CCCATCCTCCTGCCAGCACTCAGGATACGGGGGGAGATTCTCCCAGTTCCCCCTGGGATGTGTTAATTCCCCAGAGTTCATGGCAGACCCAGGGTCTCCTGAGCTTCAGGAGGAGCTAAACCTTGACCTCAACCCTTGAGGTTTGGGCAGGGGAGTGGGGGGAAGCCTTATAAAGGGAGGGAGAGAAAAGGGGGTACTGGGGAAGGGGACCCCACCCCAGGGGAGAGGTGGTCGCACTCACCGTGAATGGCAGGGAGCAGATGACAAAGGTGATGGTCATGATGGAGAGGAGAAGGAGATGGTCGATCTCCTCAGCCATGGAGAACATGCTGGCTGCCCGGGGCTGCTCCAGAGTGGCCAGCCGGCGCGTCTTCTGCCCGCGGCGATGCATACGGACCAGGTTGACGATGACACTGAGGTTGCAGAGCAGCACAGAGAGGATGAGGAAGAGGAGCAGGGTAGCATAGAGAAGCGAGAAGGTGACATCCAACCTGGACACCTCCCTGCCTCCATTGTCTTGGATGTAATCCAGGTGCATCTGGATGAAGCACCAGGTACCGGGGCAATACTGCACGTATTGCCCAAAGCCCACCAGCGGCAAGGAGCAGAAGGCGGCGGAGAAGGTGTAGATGGCAGGCAGGGCAACCAAACCCGTACGGGGGCTGAGAAACCGCTGGTAGAAATAAGGCTGCCCCAGGGCCAGGCATCGCTCCAGAGCCATGGCGAAGAGGATGAGCATGGTGGCGAGCCCGAAGAAGCTCATGGCAAAGCCAAAATAAAGGCAGATGTGTCCTCCTTGAGCCAGGGCGGTCAAAGTGAGGTTGCGATGATACGAAGCCAAGACAAAAGGGCTGACGGAGCAGGTGCCCAACAGATCGGTGACCACCAAAGCCAGCACCAGGACGTGGAAAAGGGACGGAGGACGAGCACGGTGACCACGACGACACCGCAACAACAACCCCAAAGCCAGGAGATTGCCCAAAAGCCCAGCGGAGAACATCA